GGAGTGTTGAGTGTAAACTGTGATGGAGGACATTAGCGGTGATCAGTGGGAGCACTTTGCAGCGGTCAGCAGGAATGGTCGAGTCATACAGGACTTTAGTATTCAGCAGCACTCACCTGCTCACTCTCAAACTGCTCCACCAGGGCCTGATGGCTGAGCTGGTGTGTGTATGAGTGTGTGTGTGTGTGTGTGTGTGTACGTGCATTAAGATTACTCTTCATGAATGTGAGTGACTGCAGCATTAAGGGCCATGACTTTTAAATAGCTTTTCCAGTCAACACAAGACTGAACAACCCTGCTGTTAAAAAAACATTTTGTTATCCTCAATTCAGATTTCACTAATGTCTCTCATTCTGACATTTGTCAAACATCATGAATGTCAAGATGCTATAACAAGCTTAATCGTCCCACAGGAGTTCTCTTGATACCAAGCTTGTATCATTAATCATGATGATCATCATTAAAAAAAGCGCTCCAAGAATCCTGGGCATCGTGTTTACAGCCATGAGCAAACCGACGCGCCAAATGGCGAACCAGTTGGCTCGTCTCACCTCTGTCCCCTCCCGATGGCGTAATATTTGTAGCCGAGTACTTGACTCACTTGGAAACACGGGCCATGTTTTTGTAAAGCTAAATACTTGTTTCAGGATAATTGTTCAGAGGCATATGTTTAAATGCCACCTCATTTCCATAAACGCTGTTCAGCTCCCCGAGGAATCAATGAAAACATGGAGGGTGCAAACGAAGAGTCACACACGCGCACACACACACACACACACACACACACACACATGCACACACAGACACAGATGAAGGGAAATTTGCACTCGATTTGACACTAAGCTGTATAGCTGACGATTCATCTGTTGTCTGCAACAGCGTGAAATATACATCAAAGTCGTCTTCAGTTAAGTATGCACACATACAATGCTATATGAGGGATGTTTCCTAAAGGGAAATAGGGAGACAGATGGAATGGGAAAATATCTTCTTTTTTGAAATGTGGTGTATCAGTTTGTATAAATTGATGGATGCATTAGCGCTGTATCTGTCTTTTATGCACACACCTTTCTGTCACCATATCTCTCCTCCTGTCCTCCCTCTTTACTGACTCCAAGAACAAAAAAAAGGAACCTTTGAAGTGTTAATGAGAGTTTAAAGAATGACTCACCAATGGTGATTAAGCCCTAATATACATACGAGAACCAGAATTTAGACACGTCCGAGAGACCTATCACGATGACTAATTAGTGGTGATAAAGTAGGAATGAGCGAAATCCTCTTCTAGTCATACTGCAGCACTCCACAGGGAAGCCAACTAAACAATATCTTTTAACAAAAAACAGAGGATTTGTTGAGAAGGGAAGTGTGTGTGTGTGTGTGTGTGTGTGTGTGTGTGTGTGTGTGTGTGGAGATGTGTTTTCTTAATGCTGCAATGCCTTATCAAAGTGAAGACGCAAGAAGTTACCCCTGACAAATCCCGGTTGTAATAGCCTTTGTACTGCACTGATCTAAGCTGAATCAAAGAGCGGCTAGTTGTTGTGCTGGCTGCCACGGCATCCACTACAATAGAATGAAGGGGGGGAGGGGAGGGGGTAAAAGATGCTGCTCAGCATGACTAACACTTTCAAAGAGGTTTGTGTTCAACTCTAAGCTGCATGACTTTGTTTCACCTTAAACAAGAGGTCACTTTTAAACAACATGACCAAAAGCCCCTGTTTATCATGCTGACAGGGCCATAAATCGGCCTGTGTCCAAACTAGTATGGACAAAACTGAAAGCATGTCCTTTTTTTTTTTTTTTTACCTTTTGACCTTTTGCACCTTCTTAGCCAGCATTTTACAACACTGAAAACTTTCCACAGGTAGATTTATCTACATTAGTGAGGACATGTTGGTCGAGGTGAACAGGTCCTTTCAACCATGAACGACAACTATAACTGTAAGGGTCCAGAACCTAGAGAATCATCAACACAACACACATCACCGATCAGCCATAATATGATGACCACCTGTATGTAATTTAATGCAAACCAATACAAAATCCGTTAACATACATGAGGGGAACAAGATATCAGGAACACCTTAATGCACCCCAGTACACCACCAACATCCACTAGTTATCGAGTTATCACCTTACTGACCATGCCAATAAAACAGAAAATATAAAAACCCTGTAAAACAAAAAGGACATTCATCGGAGATCTGTTGTTTTAGTAGCAGTTTGCATGTGGTCATAATGTGATGGCTGATTACTGTATACTCCTTTTTTCCTTGAGGATGTAAGAGTGTGGACTCTGATTTTCAGTCAGTAACATTTCATCAGGCTAAAGGCTTGAATCCAGATATTCATGTTGACAGGGAATCTCCTGAGTCGCTGCTGCTCATGTTGTTTGCTCGCCTGCTCTCCTTTGATGGCATTCCTACTTTTGATGATATTTAAAGGGTTATATATTTGCATTTCAGCTCTACAGACTCATAATTTTCCACGTCACATTTCATTTGGCAATTCTTCATAGGCCTTGTACACAGAGGAGTTTCTGACATGTAGCTTCAGTGCTTTCTCTAGTGAAATTCCTGCTGTATAAAAATGGCCTATTTGGATGGCAGAGTGCTAAACACAGACTTGTATAAGTAAATGCTGCTTTACAATTTATCATAAAGACTTGAATGTGCCACCATGAAAAGATGTTTAAACAGAGCTGTACTTAATACTGTGTAAGCTAAAATCCATCTGAAAACAATACTTCTTTAAATACTTACTGTTTTCAGGTAGGGAATACGAAATGGTTTATTGAGTAAAGACCAAATTATATTGATAAAAATGATTACTGCTAATGGTTACAACGATATCAATAAAAAAATGAGGAGTGAAGTTGCAGTTCCCGGGTTTAAACCCTTATTGAATCAAAGAACAACCAAACAAGACTGAGAACCACCCAGCTGTCTCAAAGAGCTGCAACTCAGGACTATTAGCCTGCACATAATGCTGTCAGCTAATCAATTAGTTGTCTGTCTATAAAATGCCAGTTAATTATGGTAAGTAAGTAAAATGTCTCATTTAGTTAGACATCATATAAGTATTGACTTTTCTAAAAGTATATATGTAAACAACCTCAGTCAAAAGGCACTTCATTTCTTAGAAAGATACTCGCTGACTGATTTTCTGCCAATCACAGAATTGATTATGTGACAAATTATTATAGCTCTTCATTTGGTGGGCACATTTCAACATTATTTAATTCTTGATGCCTCTGTCACATTTTGATTTTTACCCCCAAAAAAGTATGAGGATTTGATACCAATCCCCAAGTATAACTTTAACAGAAGGTTTGACACAGTTGATGTCCCAGTCTCTTCAATTACATTTTCATATCATGAACAAAAACCTCAGCAATAAACATGTCTGTCTGAAAAACACCCAAATGCATTCATCAGTTTATAAATGTAGAGAGGCCTAATGTAATTCAGTATGCTACGTGTTCATTCAAATTAGACTATTTCTGAGAAATCAGGCTTGTTTCTGGGACAAGACTGAACTTGTTGCAGCAGCGATACAAAAAAAATGAGCATTTGATGATTCTACAAGGGGACGTATGATTGATGATTCAGATAATCAAATTTTAAAGAGAGGCCTCATTAGTAGAAACTGAGATATACAGTATGTCAACATAGCCTGTTTATATATAAAAAAAGAGCGACATAGGGAGTATGTACAATAATATTTCATTAACGGTAGTTATTTGGTCCATCTGGGAATAGTGTGTGTGTGACTTTATTTGAGTGTGTGCAAAAGTTATATTTGTTCATATGACTCCTTGCAGCATCTCTCCTTGTGTGACTGTGTGTGTGCTCAGAAACTGTTCGCTCATTCCCATCACATAGTGAGCGCAGGCTGAACATGACAGACTGGTAATGACTTGCGTACGAGCAAACGCACACACACACACACTCCCACACACACACGCACACACACACATAGACACACTCACACACACACACACACACACATAGACACACTCACACACACATACCAGCTGCTCCTTCCCTCCTTTCTCATCAAACTTGTCATCAGCTTCGTCAGTTTGTCTCGTCTCACATTAAGAGCTCATGAATAATGTGTGATTACCAGAGACCCTCAAAGTAGCTACAACACACACACACACACACACACACTCTGAACATATACACTTCTATATTAGGGCTAATACTGTAAATATATAATCTTTTTTTTGCACACATCTTGCTCACGCTTTGGTTGTCCTGTTGAGTGTGCACACCAAAACACACAATCTTGAAGTCCACACACTGAGAGTCAGTTTAAAACTGAATGCCTGTTAGTTGACTCAAAGGAACCTAAGTCACTGGGGAAAGGTCAGGAAGTCAACCAAATAGTGCTGGCGAGGTCAAACACACTTCAACTCAAGCACACACCTAACAAATACTCCTCAGGTAATTAGTTATATTTTTCAGCGCTCACTCACTGAATGGAGTTTGTCTCCTTTAAATCTCACAGCCATCAGAGGGAGTCGGGGGGGACACACACACACACACACACACACAATGGATTCATGGTTGGATTCTCAATTTCTTGCTATTTAACAATGTCTGCCATCCTGCAGAAAATTAAGGAAATATATAGACTAGGCCTATTTTATGACTCACAAGGATGAAAAGATTATCACTTGTAAGAAAATGTCCACCTCCTCCTTTCTGACAGTGTGTCTGATTCTGTTGTTGCTTTATCCAACCTGTACAAACTTTTCATACAATTTTCGACTCCATAAACTTGTGACGAACTATTATTATATCTGTTAAGTGTCTGTCTAGCCCTTAATGTGAACTGGAAACCATAAAAAAGTGGAGAAAAGTAGCTGGAAAAGATTGTTTTTCTAACCTAAAAGAGAAGACCCCCCCCCCCCCCCACACACACACACACACACACACTCAAACAAAAAAACAAATACAAGCATGCAGTTCCTTTTTCTTTCACACACCCACCTTGGGAAATCCATCAAGCCCTGCGTGTTCTCTCCCTGGTGAATCGCTGCTCGCGGTGGGACGCAGAGGTCCTCTAAAAACCCCCTTGACGCGCCGAAAGTGTCCATTGCTCAGGTGCGTGGAGCTGATAACCAGGTAATAACACGCGCTGCACGCCATTCCAGGGGCCTCGCGGGGCTGTGGGCCCATATACGGTGGGGTCCTCTGCCTCCTGCGGTTCTTGGGTTTCCAAAGTGTAGAGTCCAGATGCGCAGCTCCTGCGCAGGTGGGAGTACGACCACCGAGGACGTGTCACTCTTGTCCTCTGTTTGGAAGTCTGTGCGTGCGTACAAAGAGGAAAACAAGATGATTATGATTATGTGGGATGAAGCTCAACATGATGAGTGTGGGAGAGGGACAGAAAAAGACACAATGAGACAGACAGGGATGTTATACTGACCGAGCTCCGCCGCTGGAGTCTGCGCTTGGCATGCTCTCGTCGGTCGGGCTTAAATAAATGAATGAGCGCCTGTGGAGTGCCGGAGGAGAAGATGAATCCATCCACTGCACACACACTCTCTCCTCTCTCCTCAGGTGGCTCACCCCGCCTCCCCTCTCTCTTCTTCTCCTTCTTCTGTTTGTTTTTACAGTCCACTGGTCCAGTCTGAAAAGTGCACGCAGCCCCAGCCAGGCAGCAGCAGCAGCGGCAGCAGCATCCCAATAGGGGTTCTCAGTCCTGAAAGGGGGAGCACACACTCTGGCAGGTGCGCCCCCGATTCACGCACATCCAAGAGGAAAGATGGGGAAACATCTGACCCCCTTTTTTTCTTCTCTTGGGTTCAAAATCAGCCGTTTTGTGAATGGAATTCCGCGGCGCGAGGTGGTAAATTCATCCAGAGCAGCAGTCTCCTGTAGTTGTTATCGTGCGCCAGCGCAGGCAGACTGAAGTGGTTCAGAGTCTTTCTCAAGGAACTCACACTCACACTCACACTCACACTCACACTCACACTCACACTCACTCTCACTCTCTCTCCTCCTCCTCACTCCCTCCCATCTCTTTCTCTCTGTGTACAAGTGTCTGGCTCTCTTTTTCTCAGGGGCTGCACCGGACTGGGTTCCTGTTGCAGCCTATATTAAGCAGCTCGTGCCCATCGTGCGTGGGTCAGGGATAGGGGGATAATTTCTGTTCACGACGTGCATGAATGAGTGACTCAGAATTGAAGCGCACCCCTCAAATCCTCCTCCCTCCTTCTCCCAGTTTCTCTATTTTCTGTCGTTTTTGTGAGGAAGAAGAGAATAAACTTTTCTGCAAACGACAAACTTTCAATATGTTTGTGTCTCTCTCCCCCTCGCTGTTTTTAACATCACCTACGCCCCCCACCCTCCAACCCCCCCCCTCTCTCTCTCTCTCTTTTTTATTGCTATGGGGGCTTCAAAGTAAAAGCTCCGCGCTTCAACGAGGTCTGGGTATCGTCAGGGGGAAAGGAAAAACTCTCTCGGTTACAACCTCCGGGATAACGATTAGATTACAGATAAAAGGCTCTTTTTCTCCAGCTCGGCCTGTCAAACCGCTCCCGTCAAAGCGCAGCACGGAGCTGGCTGTGTTTGGCGCTGTTCACCAACGCAGTGCTGAAACTGTTCCACTGCGAGCTCCCACAGAGGAGTCATGCATATTCAGCCCGGGATTAGGGTGCCTTTTTGTTGCTCCACATCAACACTAAACGCCACAGGCAGCTCTTGGTTTTAGATGTAAACAAGAGGTGGAAGGACACAGAGGTACAAGCTTAGTCCACTTTACTCTCTTTCTGCGCCTTTTAACTTGATTTATGTGACCAAAAAGAAATATACCTTTGAAGCTGTAGCAAAACTTTAAGTTGGTTGTATTTAAAGCAGGACACCTTGTCATTGTAGATGAGATATGATTCAACAAAAATTTCTGTCTTTGATAGGCTACTTATCCTCCCATGACAACAGTCTTAGATTTAGTACAGCCATCAATCCAGCTTTAGGGTCTTTAAATATGTGCCTGCAGTGACTAAATCAAAATACGATAAAAACCAAGGTGCTGCTGCTGTTTTCCTGCACAGAAAAAAGGAACAATAACAATGAAAAACTTACTTTCATCACATGATTTATTCAGCAAACGCCCAAAGGACACCTTGCAAAAAAACAAAACTTTTTTTATTTCTGAGGCAATTGAACTTCCAAACACTTCTCACACAAACATGCCTGACCTCTGTGCTTCTGCAGCTCTTTCAAACACATTATTCCTGACAGCCTCCTACTCTTTGACAAACTGTCGCCCTCCTCCAACCTACTCGTTCTGTCTTTTGTTCTGCAGCATTTTCCTTGCACTTAAACGAGTTTGTGTCCGGTCCTCCAGGCCGAGGTGTCTCCACATCTCAACCCTCTTCGCACCACAGTCCTTTGTAGAAGCCTGCACCACTCACTGAACTTTCCTCAAAGCTGTGTTATTCAAACGCATGTTGCATTCTGGGTTTGATCTGTTATGCCTGAGTGTATGTGTGATGGTGCTGTTTTTTTTATCTGCATGCCCTCGAACATGAAAGGTTTGTTCCCCCGGGGACTCTGCAGTTCCCAGTTACTGTTAAGATAAAGAATAAAGCATGGATCTGTCTGCCTATACTCCTCATAGATGAGCCTGTAAATGGACTTATGCCCCCCTCCTTTATGATACACAACAAACACACAAATGCTTGTATTATCATCTTTGTTTAAACTAGCATGGTGACCCTCTCTGCTGTCTCAGTGGGCCATGAACAGGCACTCCCCTGTGATTGATTTTTGCTCTGCTGTAATGATCACAGGAGTGTACTGTGTGCCATGCCTGTGAGTTGTGTTGTCTGAGAAACATGTATAGTGAGAAATCATGAGCCGAGACCATGCAAGTGTGCGCAACATGAAGCCTTTTGTTTCTCAGGGACTGTATTTATGTGTCTGTGTTTACGATATCTTACAGTTCATTTGGATTCTTCTGAAGTAAAGAGAGGTTAAAGAGATGTAACCTTGGATTCCTTTACTCAACAACTTTAAGGAAAGATTCCAACCAAACAAAGCTTAGAATAAGGTCGATTGGATCTTTTTAAAGCAGATGTTTGCTTGTAAAATGTGTTTTTGATTTAATTAAAAGTGTTGAATGGATGTTTAAAGGTTCCTTGAACATAGAACATCTAAGTTATTTCAAATATCTATGATTTTTATGTATCTCCCTGCTAATAGTATTGGAATTAAAGGGCATGTTTCATAAATAATAGCCTCTGCAGGGCTATTGAGGACACTTTGGTCCTGTCCATTTTTTTTTCTGTTAATCATTTTGGTTTTAACAACTTTGGGAAAGAAAATTCACTTAAATGACAAACTGATCTTCTCCACTACGATGTATTTAACAGACTGATTCTAGCATTTTTTTCTATTAAATGAAAAAAGTGTAATTAAGGCCTATTAATAAAAAGATAAATATGTTTCGGTCACAGAGTTTTATCCCTGACCAGAGGTGCAAGGAAGGTAACTGCTTGGGGCCCCCGGGCTATAAGGAGGCCACCAATGGATAAAAAACTTTAAACCAAAGCAGTTGCTCGAAATTTGCCAAAGTTGCAATGACAGTTGGAAACCTCCCTAGAGGACCCCCATCTGAAAGCACTCACACATAGAATAGTGAATGACTGAATGTTGCTAGTCTAGCCCTAAATATATACAAAACAAACTTGATTAACATCACTTAGCATTACAGTGGCATTTCTATTGTTCTCTTTGAAATATTAAATGACATGGTTTTTAATGTTTATATAAATCTTGGAATTTCAAGTTTTTTTTGTATTTATATTTAGAAAATAATACTGATGTGAAAGTTGAAGGTAAAACATAATGTTTACATTTGGCCATTTTATTGATGTTGTCAGATTATTTATAACATAATAGTAATGAATGCTGGTTGCAGGACACTCCTGTGAATTCCTGCCTTTAGTGGCTTAGCAGACTCCAGAATCACCAAAGTCCCAGACACTTGCAGGGTCACTGTATAGAGCAAGTTATGCATCTCTAGATTTGATATTGTTTAATTTTTCTGAAGAACTAAAAGATTGAATCTTCCCCTTCCTTTTAGTTCTCTAAAAATGTATTGCCACAAAGCCAGCCAAGGTTTTTAACAGGGCAGAGGCCTTCAGGTTAGAAATAAAATTGATTGACAAGATAATGAAAAAGGACAGATAATCAAAATGAAAATAGTGAAACATTTCTGAAACCAAAGTTTTTAATGCTTTCCTTGGGGAGGAAGGACATCGTCTAATGATTTCAGTTTTTCTAAAATGCTGGCATGTTGTAATGGTCAGGTATTTTTTTCTGCATGCTCTTACATGAACGGAGTAATTTCCCTTTTCTCACTCCGACTCTCCTCTCTTTGGTGATTTAACATCTGCTAACATTTATCCACGATCTTTTGCCAGTTCCTTGTAACCTTGAGGGTCAACAGTGTGTGGCTGTATATTCTGTACTGATGTTTATGTGTCCCAACGGTGAGAATTATCAGGTTTTTGGTGTCCTGCAGCTCTGTAGTATAAACTCTAACATCACCCCTGTTGCTTCAATTTCCTCCTGCAGCCAGCGGCCCCGACCTAAGCAGATCCTATCAGCACAAATCCCTAATGACCATAAAGCTGTCTTGGTGGAGAGGACATCATTACCCATTTGTCCACACCCAAATCCCTACATGACCTACCACACACCCTCTCATGTGGCCTGTGTCAGTGATAGAAACAGTGTCTGCTTTTTCACAGCCTTTTTTTTCCATCCGGCAATACTCGCGAGCAAAAGAAAACCAATTTTAAACGGGAAATTACCTCCATACTATCTTCTGGCAAAAGCTTTAGTTAATGTCTCATACACTTAAGTACTGCTAGGTAATGTATTTTCTGTGTCCTGTAGTGCCACTGGGAGCAATACAGCTGCAATAATGAGAGCATCCTGAACAATCAGGTAATGCAAAAAACAATGGCACAAACACTAAAGCCTCCTCACTCGTGATTGGAAAAAAGGAGCACTTTTGTATTTTTTAAATATCTCTCTAATACTGTCAGCGCACATTATGCAGGTGTGTGATTCTGTACCTTCCAGTTATTCTGGGTGTGAGTGCAAAGAAAAGAAGAGGGGACTGTTTGCACTGATCGTCCACAAGAGGAAAACTGTGTGTTTATTTTAAACACTCTAATTCCCTGAAGTACCTCCCTTTCCCTTGCTATCTTGCTGCTCCTGGTGCTCTCATTACTGTTAGATATGATACAGTTATACAGAGAGTAGGGGGATCGGGTGGGTGGGTTGGTGGGAGAGCCAGAGAGAAAGAAAAACGGGGAGACAGACAGAATGAAAAAGAAAACGATAGAGAGGGAGGGAGAGAGAGAAGGCAAAAATCTTGGTGGTATCTGTTTTCCCCGGTTGCTGCCTCTGGCTCTTTTCCCCTCTCCTCTCTCCTCTCTCCTTATAAGCAGCTGAAATATTACACTTAGCTTTTGGGCGCATATTGCTGTCTTTTATGCACAGTAGATGAGATTGCATCTGAATGTGTTATGATCCAGAAGTTATTTTTTTGTGTGTGATGTGTGTGTCTGTGCGTGAGGAACAGGAGGATGCTTCCTCCAAAGTCTTACCGTAGCATCACTGTGAAAATAGTATGCAAAGAAAATGGGGAAAGTGTGAAGGCAGAAAAACATTCTTACAAAGAGATTTTTTTACCTTTCACATCTAGAACAGCAGAGCTCCACAAAGAGTTCTCTCCTCAGACAAATATATCCAAAAAATATAAATCGGATTGGCCAATCCAGGTGCCATCAAGAAAATTATGATAAGCTTATTGGCTTTGTTTCAAAAGACTTTTGTTGGTTTACTGTGATTTTTAAAATTCATCTTCTTTTAAAGCCACTAATCAACTAATCAACAATGCACAAG